AGGGGTGCCTTCTCCTGGTCAGGGATGCAGCTCGAGAACAACTTCGTTTTTCCGGAAATAATGGACATGCCCACCGCCATAGCGATCGAATTTCACCGCGACACCACTGACCGTAGGCCAACAAAGCTTGAGACAAACAACGCAATATCACCGGCGTAGTCAAGATCAGTTAGTCGGCGTCCGGGTGCAAGCTCAACACCGTCCTCTACGCGTAGGCCCTTGCCGAGAATGCAGTCAATGTCATAGTTAAACAGAATGGGCGAAAGGATGAAACCCTGACGTATACTAGACGGGATATACAACGACTGAGATAGATTATTGTGGACCAGGACTCGTGCGGTGGTAGACCGATAGTAGGCCTGAATCATGGCAATGAGTGTGGTCGGCACGCCATCTATTTAAATTGTTCGCCACAGGGACTCACGATGGATGGAATCGAATGCGGCGGCAAAGTGGACAAATCAAACGGCCATCGGTTCCTGGTAGCTATGGCGGAATTCTAGAATGCGCCTCAGTGTGAGCATCTGATCAGCAAATCCACGCCCAGCGCGGAAACGGACAACACTTCATTGTCAGTCTGTTAAGGCTCAGTCCCGGAGTCACGTACAGAACGGAAGCGCCTGAGCAGAAAAACATCGAAGATTTTTGCAGCAACACCGCGGTAGTACCCACAACTCGTTTTAACTCCCTTCTTGTGGACAGATTCAATGATGCCTGAGCCTCAGTTACCGGGACCGGCCTCTTCTCGCCACGCCTGTACAATCACCTCATGAAGCCGATGAGCTAGGGTGTGGACACAGTACTCATAGATTTCCGCGGGAATATTCTCTTCGAGACACGCCTTGTTGTTACGTAGCCTCCGCATTGTATCGGTTACTTCATCTTCGGAAGATAGGTCACACGAAACTGCGTAGGCAAAAGAGGGTTTAAACTCTGCTGTGGAGGAGAGGGAGAGTGTGATAGGGTGTCTAACAACGTTGAGGATGTGCCCGAAGTGTCCATGCCGGCAATCGACCTCGGCCGAGTTGGCAGAATTAAAATCTCCATTCACACCGCGAGCAGAATCACTGAGTGTCGGGGGCTTACCACAGTCGTATAAAAAACGGTTGGATAATTACATGCATACCCTTTTTTCCCTTGAAGTCTGATCTCCAAATACCAAGCTTATTTTTAAAAGCGATGCCGATGCTATGTTAGCGGCAGTAGTTTTTTCGCGTGCGCTTTTACATAAACATAGGTATATTTGAAGAGTAACAAGCAAGGAATGCTCCCGAGGAACTTATTAATTTAATGCAAATACTATCATTCTTACAGTTAATATGTAGTTGTAAGAAGACATATGATACCATGACGGACTTTCGAGTGAATTTTCACGGAACAG